TTTCCTTTTCATTTTCCCACCTCTCTCTCTCTCTCTCTCTACAACTACCCACCCAACCATTTCCCTTTTCGGCACAGTGAAGCCCATTCCATTCCCATTTCATTCCCAAATCCAAGCCTCACATATTTTCATTTTCCCACCTCTTTCTTCGCCCTATCCACTATCTCTCTCTCTACCACCACCCACCCAACCATCTCCCTTTTCGGCTCAGTTAAGAAGAATCTTGGAAATCTTTATTAAGAAATATTCAGTAATCAATTGGTTAGTTTTTTTGAAGGTGTTGGTGGAAGTTATGATAGTGATGATTGTTGTTGTGGATTTGAGTTAAAGATGTTAGTAGTAGTGGTGGTTATTATTTTTCGGAACAAATCTGTTGTGGTGGTTGGAGGTCTAGTTTTTTCTATTCGAGATCTGATTATGACTGTTTGTGACCTAATCTGTGTTGATTGTGACCGATTGTGACTTGAGATGGATCTGGTCACAGATAGTCACATTGAATACAAACTTGGCCACAGACCTCGTATCAATTTACCCTAGATCTTGTATCAATTTTTAACCCACACACTTTATTTCTTTCCCCAAAAATTAGTTCGGCACTCTCTTACCAAAAAATCAAATCTCCAGCTTCTTCCCCATCCACCCTCTAGATTTCGACCACCTACCACTTCTCTCACCAGAGTTTCACGAGAGAAGTTTAGTGGTGCTGGTTGGTGTTTTTTGAAGGGTTGGTGGAAGTTATGGTAGTAATGATTGTTGTGGATTTGAGGTGAATGTAGTATTTATGGTCATCAATTTGAGTTAAATATGTTAGTAGTACTTGTGGTTATTATTTTTTCGAATAGATGTGCTGTGGTGGTTGGAGATCTGGTTTTTCTGTTCAAGATCTAGTTGTGACTATTTGTGATCAATTTTGTATTGATTGTGACCGGTTGTGACTTGAGATTGATCTGGTTACAGACAGTCACATTGAATACAAATTTGATCACAATTAGTCACTCCGAAGGCAAAGTTGGTCGCGGTGATTCTCGGATAACATAAGTCAGTGAATTGGTCACATATAACACATGTATGGTCACAGATAACATGTTTGCAAATCTGATAACTACAATGCACCACTACGACCATCACAAATTTTAGAGATTTTTCCATCATCGGAGCTGGAACAATTGGTGAAATAGTCACTGAAGTAGTTTGTCGAAGCAATCACTGAGCATTCGTCGCAGCAGTTTTTCGGAACGGTTGCCGGACCAGTCGCCGGAGTTGCTGCCTGACCGATCTCCAGAGTGAATCTCGGAGCCGATGTCTATCTCCTGCAAAGAGATTAAGGGAAGGTGGTATAGTGGGGTGATAGGATGGGGTGAGTGAGGTGGCATGGAGTGAAAATAATTAATGTATATTATATTATAGTTTAATATTTAATAAATATATTTACCATCTGATTTTTGAAATATTTCAATGAGTTCGTTATTTATGAAATGTGTTTTTATAATGTTGTAGTTATGTAGTCTTCCCATTTGTAATTTACTACCAGACAGGTTTTATATATGATGGGCGCAAAGTTGTAGCTCGATCTCGAGCCTTTATGCAGAGCTTGAGGTGTTTACCCCAAGCATACATCTTCCCCAAAACCCTCATAAATGTGGTCAGAAAAGGGTTGGTATGATCAAGCTCTATTAAGTTCGGGCCCATATAATCAAAATATTTAGCTCGGTATTCAAGCATTCAGTTCGCGATCTATCAAGTGCAATTTTTGGTAGCATCATTGGTGCTGTCTGTGGGAAACGGTACACTAACCATGTTAATGACACAACGGAAAAGGAACCAAAATAGATAATTGTTTAGGGCAATTTGTTTGATTAACATATAAAGACGGAAGCCATCAGTATGGGTTTCAAGCACCAAAAATTCATCAAAAAATAAGAGAAGTGGAGGCCTTTATTGGTCCTTGAACCTCAACTGGATCTACATGAAAGGAATGAATGAGAATGGATAATCATAGATACAAATATAGGGAGCAACCTAAAAACTGGTTTTGAATGACCTATCCCAAATATGGAAGAAAACAACCATATAAGAATTTTGTTTGAGAAATAGAATGAAGCCACAAATTAGACATTCTACTACCAAGAAGAAAATAAATGAGCTAAAATCACCATAGCCTCCGACAACAACCATAGATGTAGTAGCCATCGATGATGGAAGTGGGGAGTGCTGGAGACGCTTGGGCCACAATCACTACTTTAAGCATATGATTAGAGATTGATTTCATTTGATTAACAAAAATCAGGTTCCAAATTCATTCACCCACCAAATGCTTGATCAAATGCTAAAGTCAGAAATTTTCTTATTTTTATGCCTACATTAACTACGCAATATTTTTGCAACCACTGATGAAGGTCATCAAGGAAACCGTTGACAAAAGTAGCAACCCACAACAACAAAGCAATCAACGGTCCTTCGTCTAACTTTTGTCCTAGTGACTGCACATTAATTGTGAGGGATACAATTCTTTGGTGGTAGCGTGCAATCTAAGTCCTATCTTGTCTACCTCAACTTTTTGCAGGCCCATGACTTCTTGGTAGATCAAAAGCTTTTGGAGCCCATATATTTAGAGATCTTTAATGAGGCCAATCCTGATTGGTAAAATTAGTTAACGAGCTTTAGTAAATTTGGGCAAAATATTTTCACAAAATTGGGCCTGAGATTTATTTTCGTAAGGCTCATAAATATTCCTCTTGTCTAAATTAATTCCGATTGTGGAAATTACAGAATTCCCGGTATTTGGAGATCCTAGTGTAAGAGTCGGGCTCCAAAGTTGTTTATGCAAATCTCAAGTTTCAATTTAATTATTATATATTTAAATATTAAATTATAATTTAATTTTTAAATGATATGTATTGCAACTGTCGTGTTTCTCAATATCGCAATTCGAATCTTAATTATCATAACTTCCATAGTAATCCATTTAATCTATCTCCCACTCTCTCTCCCTATCTCTCAATCCTCTACACGGCTCCTCGCAAGTGTCCACAATTCCCCATTTTCCAAAAGTTTTTCCCCAAATTGTAATTAGTTCGTTGATTCCACTTCCGGTAATTTAGAATACAATATTTTTCAACATTATCGCAGTATCATCAGCATCGGCCATATCAATCACTATATAATACATTCGCCCATTTCGCCCAAATTTTTGTTGACAAGTGAAATGGAGAAGTCAAAGGTTGCAAAGATAGTTATCAATGTCGAAGATACGTCAGACTGTAGAAGCAAGAGAAAATCTGAGATTAGCCCCAAAAAAACCCCACCTAATAAGCACGCAGCGTCTTTGATTGCAAAGAAAGTACGGTCGAACAAGGTACTTATAATTTTAGGTATTGTCTGTTATAATTTTAGTGGTACACATGTAGATGGAACTCACGGGTTACAAGCATTGAAGTTTCATGTGATATTTGCGACGTTAATCGGCTGTATTCGTTAGCTTAGGGTTCTTGGTACCAATCCTGGGTGTGACCTAGATTTCTGCTGAACTGTGGCTTAATTGCATAACAATGTCTGTGACCTTTGCCATTATCAATAATGAGGATTCATGCGACCAAGATGTCAATATGTGATCGAGGCAGTTATGAATGTATGACTTTAATGATTGACCTGATTTATGCATCTGACCTGATTGTTAACGTTGTTGATGAATAGTTATTATGTGACCATGCATATTCAAAATGTGACCTCAATTTCAGATAAAATCTGGCTTTATTGAATCGTCGTACCTACATCCGTGACCTTATTCATTATGAACAATGAGGCTTTCATTGACCAAGATGTCAAACTATGATTGTGTCTTCTATGGTGTGCAGCTTGAATGCACAACATAATGAATACATGTGACCGGATTGTAACATGGTTTATGAACAATTATGTGGCTTTATTGCATAACAATACATACCTCTGTGCCTTCATTCATTTGACTATAGACTATGATACTTATGACATGTGACCACGATATTCGTATTCGTCTATGACCAAGTTTGTTGTGGATGTGAGGCCTGGATTCATATCACTACACATACTTGTGACCATATTAGTTATGGTTATACAACAATGTGAATGTATTTGTAGCCTGAGTATACAGTTACATACATCTAACTTATGTGATTTCACTACATTTGCTTAACATTGGGTCTTTCTAAACACTTTGTGTAGGATTGGCAATTCATTATACCGAAAGAACGTTGGTTCCCAGGAAAGATTACAACATCGGTTAACAAAGGTGTGCTTCAAGTATTGAAGCAAAATTATCCCACGGACAGAAGCTCATTATGAGGAGAACATGCTTTGCCCATTTTCTCGACTGTCATGAAATTGTGGTACAACCACAATTAATTCACTACTTCCTCTTTGAGGCAGGTCCATCAACCTAATCCTCAAGAGATGTGGTTTTTAGTTGTTGGGCGTTTTGTTAGATTCTCTATATCTGAGTTTTGCATGGTCATGGGACTGAGATGTTTTGGCGATAGTGACATGGGCCTTTGACAAAGTAGACCGTCACAACTAAAGACAATGTACTTCATTACTGCCTATTTATTTTCTAGAGATTCTAAGAAAGTCGTCGACCATTACTTGTTCATGCTTGTTGAGGACTTCTCTGTGCTGAACAGCTTTCCATGGGAAAAGTTACTGTTCGAGATTACTTTGAGTTATTTGAAAGATGCTTTGAGTCGACAAACCTCACACTATGGACTACGAATTATGTTGGCAGCCTTTTAAGCATAGATCTACGAAACCTTCCCTGATCTAGATGAAGTTATTGTCACAAGGATATCGAGGACGCACCTTCGAATAAAAAATGGAATGCAAACGAGCAACCTTCTACTTCTAAGTTGGAGGAGCCCGACTTCTTCAACAAGCCTAATGTAATGGTTTAGTAATCCCTACTCTACTTATAGTTGAAGATATTTTAAAATTATTGTTCTCTAATCTTTACTGTAATGCAGATTGAAATCTGTGACTTGGTACCTACTGAAGCTAAAATGGCAATGCTATACATGGATGGCATGCAGCATAACAAACCAATTCAACCAGAGTTTTCCTGGGGTAGCCATCGAAAGGAACGCAGGAAGGAAAAGTCCATTGACCCTGAACCCATGAGTGAAGAATCAGTGCCTTTGGTAACGGATATTGGTGTTGGACATGCTCACATTACAGATGACGACGATGATTTTGTGGATCCTCCACAATGATGTGAGATGACATCCCATCAGGAAACACCTCGTGCTGATGAAGGCCCTTCAGTTGCCCAACATTCTCCAAATGAGCCACAATATCATGGGACGCAATGGAGTGCTGTAAGATTCTATTCATGTCAGCTCAAATATTTTCAATATTTGGTCACAGTTCTTTTGGTCACAGGCATCTTTTTGAAGGTCACATGTATCTATCTGTCTTACTCTACTTATAGGTACTTCACGAGTTGAAAGTGCAAATATCATAACTTAAGTCACAAAATAAATTATTAATCATGGAGATGGACGCCATCAAGTCATAAATGTCGAGCCTCAACGTTGATCAGACTAACAAGATGACTGAAATCATCCTAATGCAAGGACGGTTAAAATGTGACATGACTGAGATTAGGACGAACATGTAATTCCTGTTTGAATCCGTGACTGCAATGATTTCAAATTCAATGGATGAGACTTTAAGGCGATTCAATGACAGGAAAGGTTGTCATGTTAATGAGTTTGGAGTTACGAAAGCAGCTGTAGTTGGAAGTGAAGAAAGTCATGTTGCGGAGGATTCGACAATATTGACAAGGTAGGTACATGGTATGTTCAATCTATCTTTCACTTATCGTAGTTATTGTTTTCATCTCTCAAATTCTCTATTTCACATATAGGTGGAAAAACTAGAACCCATTGTCAATAGGAAAGGGAAGGGAAAGGTCGACCCATATGACGATGTTGTTTTTCCATGTAGTCTTCAACTGCCATCATTTGACTTGGGTATCGGATACACACAACTGAATGATTAGCATTCTGCAAAAATTCAGAAGCAGGTAGATCTATTATATTTGATGTGATCACAACATCCAAAAATGTTGATGAAAAAGTATTCACATTTTGTTCTTTTTGTGTAATCTGCTAGTCACACAATGAGTAAATCGAATTTATACAAACTAAATGTCATTTTTACATTTCATAGGGATCACCAACTCTTGAACTAGCTTTGGACTTACCAGTTAAGTGGGTTTCAATGCCCACGAGGATATTTCTCCATTTGTTGTGAGGAAAGGAAAGGTATCCCGGCATCATGGTAATGTTATTGTATTTGGAAATTATAAAGACCACGTTAAAGAAGCTGATAAATCAACGTTCTTGGCTTGGTTTCAGAAAGGGTATAAACCCAAAAATAGGCATGTACATTTTTCTTACATTTTCGAATGTACTGCTCACACGGTCACAGTATCTAGACAATCAATTTTTGGTAACAGAAAAATGTTTAATGAGCACGATGACCCAATCAAACAAGCCTTTATTATTGGCTTATACTCAGTCGGTCACAGACATGGTTCTACCAACTAATAGATGTTGAAACATCTTTGAGCAGTTATATATGGTAACACTTACGTATCTATTCACAACACATTTCTTTCTTAACTAGTTACACAACATTAAGAAGCTGATACCACACTATGCACACACCGTTAGATTGTCCACTGACACAAAGTCAAAAGTTTTTCATGTTGTAGTTAATTGTATCCTTCATGTTCAAACAACACATGGATGCATGCTTCTACTACATTTGCCCAGTAGCGAAATTTGGGAAAGTAATGTATAAAGCTACAACGACGGACTCCTGGTTCCAGAACAAGATAAAAGATATATTTTTCGCTTTGTAAAAAGATCCTCATGTTATGTTGTCGAAGAGCAGCTTGATTAAGGCTATTACAGGTCACATGATATCTCTGAGCACATCTTGGGCCAATGTAGATTATGTGTTCATGCCACTCCTGCCCACGAACAAAGCTCACTGGTTGCTAGGTCTGTTAGAATTTGGACGCCATACTTTGATGCTATTCAATTTAGCTGGAAAAACTTATTATGACTTGAAGGTGCTAGAAGGTATTGAGCCTTATGTGAAGGTATTGCAGGCTCTTATGAATGCAGTGAGAATTTCGAAAAAAATCCTGATTATAACGAATTTGAATGCAAGGAATTGAAGGTGACCACTGATAGTATCCTACCTCAGTAGATGAATGGGTAAGTACATGACCAAGACTGTGTATAACTTGTAAAAATTAATTCATAACATACTATATTGTGTGCTTAAATAGTCATGACTACAGGGTGTTCGTAATATTATATGCATTGTATATCCTCCGTGATGGTAGATATTCTATTTCCCATCAATTTGATGCTGCAAAGTGTAGACTTGATATCGCATCGCTACTCTACAAACACTGGGAAACTTACGTGAAGAAGGCTAGGTAGGGTTTTAAAGGATAGGGGATTGTTAAAAAATGACAATTGTCAAAACATTTGTAAATGAATTTATACTTTAGTTGGTAGCCTTTCATATTTTTTCCAAGCAGTGGAGGCATTTGTATTTAATATTGTCATGTCGATGTGAATTTGCTTTTGCAATACATGAGTGCCCCAACTTTTAGTTGTTAATATATTATTGATTGGCTACATAGTAGTGTTTTTGGTCACATATTTAGTTTGCAATGCCATATGTAAATAACAGGTCACATATCATATGTGTAGCAGGTCACAGATTTAGTAGTGCTTTTGATCATAGTTTTAGTTTGTCATGCCATATGTAAATAACAGGCCACATATCATATGCAAAGCAGGTTATAGATTTAGTATGTAAAACATATCATACTAACAAGAGGTCACAGTTCATGTTTTTTATTGAATGTGAATGTGTGAATGGACAGATATTTTTTCCCTTACACCGCATTTATTGTGGACCACGTTTCAAGTCACATTTAATTTATCCAAGTGACTCGACAAACCATGTGAAAAGTTGGTCACAGTTTACGCTTTTAATTGAATATATGGCCCCAATTCAAAATTATTAGTATGTAAGGACTAGACGCTCACCACATTACACAGTTCTATGTTAAATTGAATAAAAAGTGTAGATATATTTCATTGAGCATTTATTTCATTACTTTTTAAAAAGCAATTGCAATTTCACAATTGAAACACATTTCGTTAAAAATGATCTCAATGTCAGTATGCTATTAACAGTTTGAATACAAGAATGCGATCTAACTTTGATAAGTCTTCATTAGGTATTGACTTCCTATTACAGGTTGGTACTTTATCAATTGTTATTACTTAATGGGACCAAACTTGAGCATCTACTGCGGTTGTGACCATGTCCACATCTTATTTTTGATTTTCCTTCTGTAGATAATCTCTTCCTCTTCTCAATAGGTCTTCTAGAACTCTGCTTCTGGTTAGGAGCTAAAATAATTTGGAATTCTACTTCATCGGGCACTCTCCATTCGTCTTGATTTCCAATAGAATATACTAAAACTTCGTAAGTATTTACATATGCATCACTTGTGTAATAATAAGAATAGTAAGCATATGGATCCCTTTTTGTATGTGCAATTATAGCCAATGCATGTGGACATGGCATGAGCTCAACCTGCAGCATCCTGCAAGTACATGTATGTTGCTCAATGTCAACAACAAATGTGGACCTTTCATCGCTGACAGAAAAAACTGTCTCGTTTGAAGGAAATACATGTGAGTGTAGTAGCACTAATGACGTGTCAGTTTAAACTCAGAAAGTACATGTCACGGATATACATATTTCAATGCACAATGATTTGTGTAGGTCACAGACCTTTATACTGGGTATCACATACAATCCATTTGGGTCACAATTTTAGCATTAGCAGACAAAGTAAATAGCGTCACAAACGTAAATTACAAGTCACGTGCAATTATAGTTTGGATACATAATCATAGATGTACATTCCAGGTCACAATCACCTATGATCTAGTCACAAGCATTTTTCATTTAGGCCAAGTACACAAACTTCAGGAGACATAAGAAAGTTATCCTCAAGTTCCTTAGTTCTAAACTCATTCTCCTCATGACATTCTCGAACTTGCTTGTCAACATCGTGAAAGTTCCATACAATTCATCTCTATGTTTATAGAACCAAGTTTGTACCGTTTGTCACAATGACTCTAGCAAGTATACAATGGAATAATTCTTAGCAGCCTTTGTGACCTCGTTTACTGATTCTACAATGTTTGATGTCATTGTAGAGTATTTGTTTGCCAGCATATGTATTCGTGACCACTTTTCAGGCCAACTTCATCCTGTAAAAATGTATCATACGTACGAGTTTCGTATAAAATGGCATATGTGACTACTTCAATGCATGTATTAAAAATCAGTACAGTACTAGGTAATCATGAATCTTCTCATTCATCTCTCCAGTTGTTGCATATTGTATTCAAATTCTTCCAATGTGTAAGCGCGAACAGTCGAATTGAACGCCTGCGTAATATTTTACCCTGATTTCCTATAATATAACTTTAGTTTTTGTAGCAAATGATACGAGCAGATACCATAACAAGTTCCTGGATGCACTTGTTCAATTGCTTTCTTTATACTGCCATGACAATCTGATACAAAACACAATCCTCTTCTATACCCATATGCATTTTTCAGTTTCTCCAAAAATCATCTCTAAGATTTGTCGTTCTCATTATTCCTTACTCCAAAAGAATCGAAAGAAGAAAGGATGGTTGTAGATCACTGATGTCGAATTCACAAAAAAATCATATGAAAAAATCTTCTGATCCTAGGGCGAGAAAACATGGCTCAAGTGTGTTTATACAAAGCCCTTCTCTTCTTCACTCAAAGAGGCAATGCACCCTTTTTTTGGTACTTGATTCATAAAGAATGGATCTTTTGAAGTTATGTTATACGGAATCTTCAAGAACAAATATGCCATTATTTGCATCCTGTGTACATGTTGTTAATAGGGTACCTCCATAATGATCATTCAAGTAAGTATTACGGGCCTACAATGTTGCCACCCGCGTATTGACGCACCACGTACCATAAAATAATACTTGAACCTATTGTGACTATCGATCTCCAACTCTGTGACCATACCAGGATTTCTTTGTCGGTGCATGTAAAAGAAGCTTGGTATCCTACCGAATGATTCCATTGGATCACCCCTAATTATCTTCAAGGTTTGTTCACGGGATCTTCAAGCTTTTAAGTAATTCAAATATACTCCAAAAGTATGTAACATATTACTGCATAAGTCCTTTGGTGTGTATATGGTGCCGGCCAATGTGTACTTGTACTTGATGCTAGATGAAACAACTACAACTGATATTTGTCTATGTGACCCCATCACTACATTTGGTGCACATGTGTGACTACCAATCTTTCGAATTTTAAATGGATTCATTTTACCCCATTTCGACGATCTGCATATCCAAGTACATCTTTCCTGATAACACCTCACAACATATTCTTTCTTGTCGGACCGTTCAACCATAAATTCAAACATGTTTTGTATGTCAAAAAAGGATAGGCTCAATTATAAAATATCCTTATCACGGAAAAACCTTCCTTCTTCGACTCCCTAGCATCTGCTACAGAAACAATCGTGACTTCATTGTAAAAAATGTGACCTACATGTTTACTTCATACTTTGCCTATTTGTGATGCCACATCATGCAATGTATAAAGCTCACTGCTACAATAAGTAGTATCTGGGACCGTGTAAGATGGGTCCTCTATTGCTGCATCGGTAATGTCAATGATTAATGTGTATTTAGCAGGATCATGCTCGGCTTCTTTCAGCAGAATGTATATAAGCACATTGCTATCATTTTTTATTCTACAATGACGTAAGGCCTGTAATCCGAGCCTCATATCCCTGACTTCAGAGTCCTACAGTCTTCTTTCTTTTCCCTATTGCGAAGTAAAAAAATCGATGAGATTATGGAAGTAAATATTCTTGCGTTTACTGGCAAATCATAACAAGGTTTA